ACAGACAAACAATTCCATGAGAATAGTTTACTGCTTCTCTGTGCGAGGAATACCTACAATCCAAAAATAAATCACAAAAAAGAAAAAGAGTGTGTGCTGTTTTTGTTCAGATTCTTAGAGCCCCTAATCTGTATACTTTTTCTTTCAAATGTTAGTTACACTTCCAGCTCTACTACACATTCTGCCCTTTAACCTATAGATTGATCCATATTCTTTATTCCATTCATTTAAACCTCTACCTGAATGAAGAGTTTGATGAAAACATTATGTAAATAGAATCCTATGTTGGCTTTAAATTCCAAGTAGTGGCTGGAGAGAGAAACATACTTACTCATAATCATCTTATTGCCAAAAGAGGCCATTTCTGTTATGCTGAGGAAGCCATTGAAACGCTTACCAGCTCCTCATACAATTGAGCGATGTGTGCTCTGACCTGAATGTCTGTCTTGCACGGGTGCAAGGAGACTGGCATGCAGCATCTCCCTCGATCTCAGAGGAAGGAAAAACATGGCCCATGGGTCATGGCCAGCTGTGAAAGTGGCTCTAATGTTTGTGTAGAAAGTGGACTTTAACTATTGTTTACATTTCTTGGATAACTTCTTCCTTGCTTTTGTTTTGTTTTGTTCTTTGAAATAATTTCTGGAATGCCATTGGAGAAAAACTGGTTTACAAGTAGTTGAGGATCTCTTGACTTTTAAGGCTGGCATTTCTGCACTTGCAAAATAATGTTACAAAACGGGAAAACACATATTCCATCAACCTTTGCTTATGTTGGACTTATTGTCTAGCTCATAGTTAAGTCTTGTGTTTTATTGAAAGGCCATGTGTATTGATGAATGATGTTGTACCACAATAAGATATATTCCTTATATGTATACAAGCTATATCTTATAAAACTATACAAGAAACCCTTGCCTTTAGGCTGTTGTTCTACTAATACTAATACTGATATTGATGTTACTACAATAATTATAAGCTACAAATTGAGAAAAAAGAATCAGTCCCTACTTTCTATTACCTTCTCTCTGTAGTTTGGTTACCTAGAGTTAACTTCCATAAGCCAATTTTGATGAACCTATAAAGATAGCAAGTATGTGTTGTGAATTTCAAAGCAAAAACTATACAAAGCAAAAAAACCAGACAGACAAAGGCTATCATAGAAAACACATGAGACATTCCCACAGTGCTCTATTTTTGGCCTAAGGTCAGATTATCTTAGGTTAGAAAGGCTTTTCCATATCATCCTCTATCACTGAGTATCTGTGAGTCAACCTTTGGCCTTTTCTTCTCTCTAGACCAGGCCCTGCCATGGTCCTGGGTTAGCCCAGCATCTGTGATATTGACCTTTCCAAGGTCAAACCACATACATCCCAATGCTTCAGACACTAGCCTTTCAATAAGAGCTCTAAGTACCCCGCCTCTGAAATAGGCAACATCCCTTTCTTTAATTCGGTCTCTTGTTTATAATGTTCTCATTTTATTAGACATTCTCTGCCTTTATGAGTACTTTCTCTAAGGCAGTTAGTCTACTCAAGATTGCCTATAGCCACAATATTTCCCCCCAGCAAACCAGAATCTAAGATGAGTTACTTGAAACATCCTTTCACATGACATCTTAACTCCCCTTGTCCAATGTCCTCTAAGTCTCCACTCTGAAATCTGAGCCATGCATAGTTCTAATCTGGCTCTTCTACCCTTTGCTGTGGCACCATTGTAGATTGATGGGAAGTTCTTATCCGTTAGCCCTTGTTTGAGGAAGTGGGTTCTTCTGAAGTTCTGTCCCTCACAGTCTCCACATTGTCTTCTCCTGCCTTCACAACTGACCTTGAACTTCCTGTGTATTTTCTCTCACCTTACAGTTAGATAACTGTGACACAACAGTATCTTTGTCTTTTTGTGTGTGTGTGTGTGTGGAACCGGGGATTGAATTCAGACCCTTGCGCTTGCCAGGGAAGCACTTATTCCACTGAGCCATCTCCCCGGCCCCACAACAGTATCTTTAAACTGTCCGTTTCACCATCACAGCCACTAAGCCCTATCCTGCACACTCTAGTCACCACTCTCCCAGCTTCAACTCTTCTACATTTTTAAATGAGAGAGTTTAATTTAATTTATGTATTTGGTACAGGGTCTCACTATGCAACTTGGACTCATATTGACTCTCCTGTTTTCAGTCTTCCCAGCCCTGGAATTATAGGCATGCACCACCACAGCAGGACTCAGTCACCCACTCAACACATCTGGAGGCAGGGCAGGCACAGCATGTGGGACCAGGGATTGAACTCTTGTCCCTACGCTTGCCAAAGCAAATGCTTCAACCACTGAGCTATCTTGCCGGCCCTCTGACTTTAATTTTGAAAAACAAAATCTGTGATTCCTTGTAAATTCAGTCATTTCCTTTCTATTAGTCCCTTCCTTATTATTATATTTTTTTCTATATTTTAGGAAGGGTCTACAGGGTGTAGAGGGGTCTCACTACTAGATCGGACTCATAGTGATCCGCCTATTTACAGCCTCATTAGTGCTGAGATTACAAATTCGCGCCACCACACCCAGTCTCAATTGCTGTCTCAGCATATCCTGGGGGCGGGGCCAGCTCGACAGGCCTGGGGATCGAATTCCCAGTCCCAGTGCCTGCTTGCAAGCACTTTAATCCGTTAAGCTATTTGGCCAGTTCTTAGTCCCTTCTTTAGGTCTTATAAATTTCCTCCATCTTCAAAAATTACTAAATCAAATCATAAAGCTCTATGTCTTCTTCCAAGAAGAGGCACTTCCCCTCTCTATTTATAGCCAGGCTGAACCCGTTATCTCCATTTACTCATTCTCCACTTACTCTTTTGGAAAAGATCGTCATATTAAGAGATATGTCCACATAAGAATGTAGGAGACATTATGCGAAAACATGAAGAAAAAATTTCAACTTCTTCTAGTGTTTCCACACAATTGTTATGTTTTCTATTTATTTGTGCTCTAAGTTTTCCATTTTAACCAGAAATATTGTGTGATATACTGCCAAAGACAAGAATACTCTACAAATCCAGAATGTCATTATCATTCTTAAAGCAAAATTAGCAAAACTTCCTTGATATCACAAAATCTCCATGACTTAAAATTTTCATGATCAACCTGACACTTTTGCATTTGTAGATATATGATATATAAAATCTTATTATATATACTATTATGTAACTTGTCTTTTCCCTTACAAGTTTCTTATGTCTTTATAAATTATAATGTAGCTCTGTTTCAACAATTTAAAAAACTGTCAAGGGCTGGTGAGATAGCTTAATGGACTAAGCGCCTGCTTAGGCAAGCTCAGGGCCTGGGGTTTGATCCCTGGCACCATATGTTGCATTGGCCCTGCCCCCCGGCACCCTAAAGTGGCAACCGATTCTGGGCATGGTGTCTGGGCATGGTGGTGCATGCCTGTAATCCCAGCACTGGGGAGGCTGAAAGCAGGACGATCACTACAAGTCTAAGCTGTGTAGTGAGGCCCTGCACAAAATAATAAAACAACAACAACAAAAACTAAAACACTATCAAATCTTTTGAATACATGTATGATTTTTATTTAAGCAGTAACCTATAGATGCTCAATACATTTTAGATTAGTATTTTTTTCTCTTTTTATAAATAACATTGCTGGTAATATTATTATTATTATTATTATTATTTTTGCTTTGGTGTTTTATTTGCAGGATAAGATTCTGGACAATATTCTCAATTCAGAGCCACCAAGCATGACTTTATGAGACTGAATGTTGTAAGAGCTTATTTTCATACTTTTTCAAATAGCTATACATCAAAATCCATTCAACAACCGAGACCAGTCAGCACCAATGCTGGCTTAGCTTTACAGATAATGAGGGGTTCCAGCAGGTTTTTTCAGGTCCTCACAATACACTAGGCATTATCATTTCATCTTTTGTGATGCATCCTACAACACAATGTAGACATTTCTGTTTTTATTCCATAGAGATGGGCATATGGTATTGTCGCCCAATCTTAAACCAAAACAGATATAAACAGAACAGATAATTCTCAGGTTGAGACTTGAGGGGAGGTCAGAAAATTGGGTTTTATATTTTATTTGGTCCAACAAAAAGAATGTGGGGCTGGTGAGATGGTTCAGTAAAGCACCTACTTAGAACAAGCTTAGCAAAGCATAGGGACCGCGGTTCAATCCCCCAGCACCACATGCCAGCCAGCCCCGCCCCCTGGTGGGCTGAGCTGGCCACACACACACACACACACACACACACACACACACACACATATAAATAAAAATTTTTTTAAAAGAATGCAGTTATTATGTGTGACTTTTTGGAACTTTCTAAATTGTTTTTAGCCATCAGAGGTACCCAGCATAAAGTCTGAGATAAAATCATCAGTTCTAGGATGCTTGAACAATAAATATTGACTAAAATCAAGCATTGTTACAACATGATATGCCAGAGAATCATTTCGAAAAGTCATTTCCATTAGAATCAGTTCTGTACTGCCAAGCATTACTTACAAGCACTGAGATGGGGAGTCGACAATGTAGACATCAGGTCCTCGGCTATTCTGGGCTACTTCTCTACTTTCCTCTCACCTTAGAATCCATCTCCCCTGTTCAGTGTATCCCTAAGTTTAGCCAGCACCAATATACTATGAGAGGAAAATAATAAGAGATAGTTCATGCCTGGAAGGTCAGCTCTACATATCTACACTTATGGGGAAATCATTTCTGCTTAAAATCTTATCCATCCATACAAGATACATGTGTCAAGAATATATGCTGCATGAACTGCTGCATGAATTTCTGTAATCAGAGCGTGGAAAGGCTCATTCTCTGTCAAGGCAGGTCCTTTTTGCTGTGGAAGCTGTGTGGGTAAATCTCATCTCTGAACTGTCCTGTGAATCCAATTCAGTGACATGTGGAGGATTGTCTGGAGTTGCGAGCTTGTAAAAAGGTTACGTAGCTAATGCAATTGATTCCTCCTGCTTTCTGTTTGCAGCCTGCTGCCACCCCAGAGGATACACCTGAGCTCAGTGCCTTTTTGCGAAACTCTACCATCCCTCATCTTGTCAGGAAGCGAGATGTGCCCAGGGTCCAGCTCCATAGACAGAGCCCTGCAAAAATACTGGTGAGTTGCTTCAATGTGCATAGAACTGAGAGAATTGGATTCAACAAATTCTCCACTACAGATGGTTTTCACTTCAAGTCTAGCGTTCAGTCTCTTCTGATGCTCAGATATGCCTGACATTTCTTGGCAGTAAAAATTTTGAAGAATTAAAGTGAGCTCTTTATGAAGACAAAGAAGCAATTGTAATACAAAATTTTCCCTCTTTTAAAGCTTGCCATGGAGGTCACTTTTAAAAAATGCAAACAAAAGCATCCATTATCACCTTTAGTCCATTTCAGGAACAAAAAGGTTCAGCTGTTGGTCCATCCTCATGGACTGAGAAGGTGAGAATTTGTGATCTTGGTGGAGCTCTTTTCAACACACAGCTCTTAGAAAGTTGCACCTATTGCTGAGTCTCAGGGTCCTCCGCTTTTCCAGAAGATGATGTAGCCAGGTTTCCTGGGCCAAAATCTGTGGAGAATCAAAGGCTTGGGGTCCATGTGAGGTCTAGTCTGAGCTTCATTGGGACTTAGCAAAACTCTCAACAACACCCTTGAGTTAGCAATTTTCGGTTCTCTCATACACCTCTGCTAAATATAGAGCTTTATCTCCCTTGTTCCCTAACTACATGGCAGAGTCTCCAAGTAAATGGCAAGGTTCATTTCATTTATGGGCCGCAGATCAACTCCATAAGGAATAGAAGGCTACAAGCACATTCCCCAGATATGTAGAATCAGAGAACACCTCAGAACCCAGCATTGTCTTCCATATCAAGCAAACACACATGTAGGGGCTTGAAGTGGGGGCATCCTGAGACCCCTGTGTCCTAGTGTCTGGGATGTGTGGGGGCTCAATGAGTGCTTCTTGCCCCACAGCTGTACTACAGAAGCCCAGCCTGAGATGCATCATCTTGGGGTGATAGTGTGGCAAAAGCCACACTTCCAAGCAGGAGTTCTTTCTCCAAAGACACTAATGGCAGGGAGAGACCCTTGGCAGGAAGCCTCAGGACAAGGGAAGAGTAAGGAAAAGAGCACAAAGCCAGAACCAGAAGAAAACCCCTGAGAGTCTGAAGCTGCTTCTGTATGGACTATGGTCACTGTCCTTGCCAGGTGGGGAGCTAGGAAACACCGAACACCAATGCTGTTTATGCAAAAATATGTAATTGCCAGAGGCTCCACTGGGCACCACTGCACTCCGGCTCATGGGCACGGCACACTTTTGTCACATCTTCTACCCTAATGAAAATCCATAAAGATTTGTGCAGTTGCTCAACATTGTGTTTTTAAGGTTCAGTTCAGGGAATGAAGATAACAATAAGCCACCAATCAACTTGAACTTGAACCCATAGCCACTCCAAATAGCTTCTGGAGTCACCTTTAAAAGAGCTGTTGGTGTGCCATTCTATTATCTCTTCCCTCAAGGTTCTCAGGGCACTTTTTAAAAAAAATTATTTATTTTTTTGGCAGAACCAGGAATTGAACTCAGGCCCTTCCACTTGCCAGGCAAGCACTTATTCTACTGAGCTATCTCCCTAGCCTCAGGGCACTTTAAGCCCAACTATAAGCAAACATGTACAAGCAGTTTGAAAGTGTTGATAATATTTGCATTCACTAGCCCCTCTGCCCATTCAGTTAAAATGAAGTGGCTGTTATGACAATGTACCAGTGCATCCTTTGGGGAATCTAATTATTCCACTCAATTACAAAGTAAAAGAATTCAAGGCAGCAAATTTGTGCCTAAGGAATTGAACCTGTGACTTTAGCATTTGTATGCCTGAAAGGAATAATAGTAAGCATAATTTTAAAAAATTGAAAGATCGAAAGTTCGAAAGGATTTGCAGAAGATACACTATAAAGTAAGAGTGTAAGTAAACTTAAGAATCACTTACCCCCAGAACATAGAATTCGCTGGGTATAAATAACATTCCACTTACAGCCAAGCCAAATTTGTGGAAGTGTGTGTGTGTGTGTGTGTGTGTGTGTGTGTGTGCGTGCATGTGTGTACACAGGACAGGGCAGAGGCAAGAAGGTTCCAGTAAAGAAAGCCAGATTTTGAAGGGCTGTGTCTAGCCAGCTGTGGGTAGTCAGGGATCATTTACTTCATGTCAAAGAAGCACTGATAGGCCATTGTTCAGTTTAGTAATCCATAGGTTTGGAAATCAAGTTCCCCAAACCCAGATGAATGTCCCCTGCCTGTGGGCTCTGTCTCCCCCTGAATCCTGAGCCCAGGTGCATTCATCCAGGGGCCTCAGCCTGAGTCAGCAGATGAAACAGAGAAGGATGCAAGGTTCTTTTCCAAAGGCATCAGAATATTTGTGTTTTCATTAGTATATGTTAGCCTGCTATAAGACAACAGGCTAATACATAGCCTCTTGTAGGATAAATCAATAAAACTGCGTTCTATCACTAAGCAAAAGCTTCCAAGGGGGTAATAGAGCAGGCATAGTAATTTGTCCCTATGGAATTCTAATATGTACAATCCAAATGGGAAAGATGCTCTGGAAAGCCATGTCCAGTGAAAACTCAAATATGTTAGATTTTGCTTATTTTTTAGTTTTGTTTTTGTTGGTGGTGGGGATCAAAATCAGAACCTTGTATGTGCTAGGCAAATATGCTACCATAAGCCACACCTCAGCTTTATGGGTATTTTGTTTGGATATGTGCATGTTTTATCTTTCCAATTTCCATTCAGTCTCTCATGAGTTCACTGAGACAATGTGTATCAACAACTACATTTATTTGGAAAAGTTTAGGCATTTGTGTCATTTTGGCAAATATTTTCCTTGTTCTCATTAAATGTCTTTGACATAGATAATATTGTTTCTAATATCATCAAAGTCTAGTTGCACACTGATGATTGGTGTTATAATCCTTGCTTTCTGTATCTTATTTCAATTCAAGTTTTATACTCCTTCTCTCTTATTGGTTCAAATCACAGAACTTCCCGTGTCATCATGTCAAAACAGCTTTAGATAAAGAGTGATTATGCAAAGTTTATTCTAAAATCAAAAGCTAAATAAGACCTCCTACAGCTTTTATTTGGTTAAAAACAAGTTGGTGAATCACATTTCTTATTAGGAATCTGAAAGCACGTAATGCCAACATCCTGTGTTAGGATCCTAATTTCCAATTTGAATTTCAAAATGGATCTCTAACACTGAAATATCATTCTCTTCTACCCTAAGAATATCTTCACCTTATTATCTTGTCTCCTTATGCTTTTGTCACTGTATCTCTGTCTCCACTTCTCCAAACTTTTTTCTTGCCTTTCACTACTCAGATTAGTGAAACCTTATCTTTCTGAATTTTTCTACAGCATTTGATACTCCTGGTTACTTCCTTAAACTGTAACATTCCTTGACTTCCCTCAGAACAATCTCTTTTGATTCTCTTTTTACCCTTTTGCTAGCTCTATTTTGAATTTTTCATGGACATCTCATCTTCCCATCCTTAAATGCCCTATATCTCAGGATACCATCTTCAACCTCCTCTCCTCTCCTCTCCTCTCCTCTCCTCACCTCTCCTAATCTTTCCTCTCTTCTTCTCAGTTCAGCCCTACCTCTTTGCCTTCATGACTTTCAAGGTATATCTGAACATCAATATCCACCCCAATCCTCATGTGTCCAAAACTCTTATCCCCAATGATTCCCATATGTACCTCTTCTCTAGAATCCCACTTCTCAGCAATACTGGTACCCATCAACCCCATTCCAATCCAAAGAGCTTCTTCCACTCCTCATTTTTAATAGCAGGATCCAAGTATCTATTCTGCTTTCCAACCATCTCAAAAATTTTCTTCTCTTCATCTCACTCCTTCAACTCCAGGACCCAGCTTTTCTCATTTGAGTCCCATCCTGCCTCCCATTCTGCCCTCTCTATTCTCCTCTCAAATAGCACCTGGGCATCTAAAATACACACCTGACTGTGTCCCTTGATTGCAGTCCTTTATGGGCTTTCCAGTGCCTTCTGCATAAAATCTAAGCTCCTTACTCAGCATAGTAGAACAATTCTTTACCTCCTAGAAATCTCTTTCCACCTTATTTCCATCTGTCTATCTCACTCCCACATCCCTTCCTCCTCTTTCCTGAGCATTTCCTGCTGTATATGAGAGGGTCATATGACAGTCATTCCATCCTGCTAGGTAACTCTTTCTCATTCTTAGCATCCTTCACATATAAGTTTCTACAGCATCCTCTAACAGAGCTAGCATACTGGGATCACCTTTTCCAAGGAGTTTATAATGGGCCATCTGGCTTTCCTCTTGCCTTTGTGGGTGGGATGGTTGGTACTCATCATGTAAGTGAGGATACACAGGAAACATAAGAGTCCTCTCAAGAGCTTTCCAATATCTTGTTTCTATCATGGGAACCACAGTGCTCAACTTTGGTAGTACAAGGAGATCTGGTCACTGGTATAGCAGACCCTTTGCTTACAAACTCAGTTGGTTTAGAAGGGCTGGTTATAACTCAAATTGGTTGTACATCAGGACTATTTTTCCTAAAACCTCATACCACAGTGATGTATGTGCATCCATTGTTATAGCAGAACAATTTGTCATAGCTAACTCCTGGAAACAACCCAAATGTCCATCAGCTGAAGAATACATAAAGAAAATGTGGTCTTTTTACACAATGTAATATTATTCACCAATAAAACAGGACAAATTTGAGTCTTTTATCAGTAAATGGATGCAACTAGAGAACATTCTCTTAAGTGTTTGCATGTACAAACATATTATCTCCTTAGTGTGAGAACCTGAAAGTGAAAAATGGAATCAGAAGGGTACAATAGATACTGGGATAAGAGAGTGAATTTATTCAAAAGGACAGAGTTACTTAGTCACAAAGGACAGGAGAGGGAGCAGGAGATAGAGATTTGTCTATGTATATAAGCTTCATGGTTTGAACAACCATACTGTACATTTCTTCTTGTCTATGGAAAGAAGCAGTCAGTGATTTAATTTGTTTCTTCTCATTTTTTAAATTGTTTTTACTTTTTCTCTTCTTAATTTCTTATATATTTCTTTTTTCTTTCTTCTTCCAATTTTACATGCATATATCTGGTAATATGAATAACTGGATGGAAGACAACAGTGCATTACAACAAATATTGTGAAATTCATATTACTTTGTTAAGGGAAATTCTGTATCACTTGTAATTTTGTTTTAATTCTAATTTGTATTCTCTTTTTAAAAAGTTAAAAAGACTTTTTTATAAGAAATGGTGGAAATGTCCATAATGCATTCCAAACCTCCCAAAGCACGCCTTAAAAAACATTTTCATAATCAAGAAGGTTTGTACCATGTGTGTAATTTACCAGAAACACCAGTAATTTTTCTTGTGTGTTCACCAAAGAATTAGAAAATATGTCTAGCTTACCAGAAATAATAATTTCATACTGCATTCACCATTCAAATTGACACCTTTGGCTAGCAGGGAGGAAGGATGAATGGAAGGTGGTCGCTTGGAAGGAGAATCTCCTTCCATAAGAACATTAGAAGTCTGGGCTCACACTGATGCTTACATACGCTCCCATAGGCTTTGTAGCACGTGAGTCTTGTTTACAATGGCACAAGGGCCAAGCATTTGGGTTGTAGTACAAGACTTTGGTCCTAAGTCAAACCTAAAATTACAGTTATAACCCAATTTATTATATGAGGCTGGTAGTATCTCAAGGGTCTGCTGTGTTTGGAATCATAATGTAGAAATCTGGCTTTTCTGGAATTTCTCTGATATACATTACTGTTTTGTTTTTGGAGAGTTCTTCAGTCCTGAAAATAGTTTCTCATGGTTAGTGTTCTTGGGGTTATTCTATAGTTTATCAATTTCATTAAAGTGAAAATCTTAGATCAAGAACTTCACATAATAGCCAATAATTTTATTTTTATTGATCACCTATAGCTCACTGGCTAGTGCTTGAGTCATGAAGCACTAATAAATAAGAATAGTCCACTTATATCCTTATAAAGCACATATATAGCACTAATAAATAAGGATAGTCCACTTATATCCTTATAAAGCACATATATCTCGATAAATAAGAGTAGTCTACAAGATAAATTCACATGAGTTAGGGAATACACCCAGAGAAGTAGCATTCTCTGCATGTCACACAGAAAGTAAATTGTGAGGCATTTACTTCTTTCCATATAGGCAGAATGTCATCATAATTAACCTTTTTCAGTATTCATTTCATGTATTAAAAGTGACCCATGATAAGTTGAGCCATTCTGAGAACTGGTTTATAAGCACCTAATGAATGGAACTCACTACTGGGTCTGCTCCCAACCAGGAAGTCATTTCATGAGGACAAGATTGTGATGGGAAGATGCCCATCCATGCCTCAGTGGTTTGAGCCTTTGAGGAAACATGGACTTGTGCGTCTTCTCTGCACTTCTTTCCAGATTTGCCCAATGTAGCATTAGATTTTATGGATGTCTGTAAGAAATATCTTCCTAAGTTCAGAGAAAATGAAGCAGAACAATTCTCTAGCAACAGCAGAAAGATAGTTTAAATTCTCACAAAGGAGCATAAGTCCTGTGCTGTATTTGTGCTTAATTTTATCTATTACTAGTAGAGTCTGTGAATTATTGTAACCACCACGCTGTGTTCTTCCTTGCTTGTTCCAGTGTATTTGTTCTTTAAATTAAATGAGTTAAATTAAATTTCCAGAAATGGCAATTATTTCTAATGAAATAACATGTAAATAAAGTGATTGCACTGTTGATTCTCTGCCACCCCTGAGAGATACTGATGGGCTGCCACTGTTGTTATATTTTCCAGAACTGTACAAATATCGAGTGTTTACAAATCTCCTGTATGGTGGGACGACTAGAAAGAGGTGAAAGCGCTGTTCTGAAAATTAGGTCACGACTATGGGCCCACACATTCCTCCAGGTAATAAAATCATTAATTCCACTCCCAGGAATTCTGAAAAGCTCCACAAAAAGACTTTCTTAAAAGATTGTTAATTTATTTTTCTTTCTTTTTTTCTTTTTTGGTGGAACCAGGGATTGAACTCAGGCGCTTACACTTGTCAGGGAAGCACTTATTCTACTGAGCCATTAATTTACTTTTCTAATGTCTAATTTTTATGTTGTTTAAAATATTATTTAATTTCACTTTTAAAAAATTAATGTAAAAGTTTTGTTTAATTCCTAAATATTTTAAAGGAAATTACTATGCAGCTGAGCCAAGATTCATTGGTCATCTTTCCCAGAAGATGAAGGCAATTTAGACATGCTGAGCCCTGCACCTTGCAATTGTAGCTCAGAGCTTAGCTCACCACTATGTATCCAGTGCTGGGCTCAGAGTACTGCCCCCAGTGACTACCAACCAGTGTGAGGTTGGGGAGTCTGGAAACATGGCTCAAGCCATGTGTCCTAAAAGCTAAAAATGTAAAAACCCAAAGGAAATTGCTCTACAAAGTTCCTCTTGTCAGGTAGGCCTGTATCCCAGCCTTCAGCTGGGCCCACCTCCAAGCACTATGGGTCTACCTATAAATAATATTTTGTTTCTCTAGGTTTTCATTTCTATTATGTAAAATACTTCTTCTACAGTATCACATATCTTTCAATTTTGTTTCTAAAGTGAATGTAAGGAAAGATGAAGTTATTTTTTAGGATTATTTTGAGGCTATCTTATTTTTGTAACTGAAGGAAGGGTTGCTCAGTACTAGTAACATTCTGGATCAGGTAACTCCACTCGTGTAATAAAAGGAGCAGACCAAGAGATGGAGGGAAGGAGGAGGGAGGGGAAGGGGAAAGAACGAAAAAAGTAAAAGGATGTGTGATGTGCTTGTACAACTCTCCATGAAGGATGGAATCATTATGTACTGCAAACACGTATTAAAATAAGTAAATAAACAAATAAATAAATAAAAATTGAAAACAAAATCCCATATCCCTACTAGCAAGCTTTGCCACTCCATTTTGGCATAAGATTATACAATTTTCTTTACTAAATATGCTTAAAATACTTTTCTAACCATAATAGTATGGGGGGAGGTAATGGCAATTTTCATTATAAATTTGTTTTCATTTACTTCCCTCTACTCTAAGTAAGACAAATTATCACTAATCCTGCACAAAATTTTGAATTTGAGCAAATTCATTGCAGATTCTCTTGTTATTTGGTTTGCATTGAGAAAAGCATGTGTGAGTGGATGGGCCAGCATGCTTTTGTATTTTATATACACACATTTACTTGTGAACCTTGGAGGAAAATGTGTGAAAAACTACATATATACATTAAAATCTACTTCTAGGAGTGAGGACTCTGATTTAAATTAGATAGGATTTCTCTTTACTCTTTCCAGGGGACTCCAGTCAGGATACCGGAGCTCACCTCCATTCCTGAGCTGCTGTGTTCAGGGCACTTAGCTTTTGTGGGCCTCAGCATCCTCATTTGTGAGATGAAGGGACTAGATGAAAGACTTTTTATTCTAAAAGATTCACCGATCTGGGAACAGATCACATGGAACTGCTACTGATACTTTATTCATAATGTTTGTTCTATGCAGCTTAAACCATCAATAACTCCATGTACTTTATTAATAGGCTATTTTGTATCATATTGACTCTTCAATTGACTGGAAATGTTCTGTAAACTTAAGGATCAGCCACCCTTCCCAAAGAGGACTGTCTTCAAAGACCTAGGTGTCTATTGAGTGGTGACCATGTAGCTAAGCACCAGGATAAATGTTTGTGTATGAATTACTCTTTGAAATCTTATAGCAATCCTGTGGGCTATATACTTCTATGACCAACTGAATCTTACAAAGGAGCAAAAAGGGATTTAGCAGCTCTGCCAAGGCCACATAGCTCTAAGTGGAGGAATCTGAGCTTCTGTTCTGTGTACAATAACATGCTATACAGTTGAACTAGAGATCACTGTGTGATAAGTCTGCGGTACATTTTATATCACAATTACAAAGCTACAGACTGGGGGCCGGGGAGATGGCTCAGTGGAATAAGTGCTTCCCTGGCAAGCACAAGGGCCTGAGTTCAATCCCCGGTTCTGGAAAAAAAAAAAAAAAAAAAAAAAAAAAAAAAAAAAAAAAAGCTACAGACTGCTAAACCATACCTCTTACAGATTACAGTAATCAACCATAGAAGTTGTTAAATACCCTGCCTTATAACTTTTTAAGAGATCTGCAAATTGTCTAACATGCTATTTTAGAATTCAGTACAGAAAGAATAATTCTTAAGTTGTACTGTTCAATGCAGCAGTAATAGCCACATGTAACTATCTAAATGTAAAGTTTTTAATGTAAGTGAAATTAGTTATTCACTTCCTTGGTTTCACTCTTCACATAATCACAAGTCATGACTACTGTATAGTGTAGTGGAAATAAAGTATGCATCTGTCCTTGAAAAATTAGCTACGTATATGGCCCTTCAGATTTGCAAGATTAGATGATTGAGTGCACCGTAATATCTCTGAATGAAGGCTTGGATTGGATTTAATATTGACTCTCTGACTTTCACTATGTTCCCTAATCAAGTAAAAATGAGGCCCCTTTTGCTTTGTCACTGTATCATCTCCCACCTCAAATGCAAGACCATTCTCAAAACTCTATTTTGCACTCCAACATTACAGGTTTGAATAAACACGACAGCCTTTCTCTCTCCCAGCTAGCCAGCAATGACAGCAAAATGATGTGATGTTCAATCCTAGGAGTTAAGGTGTCGGCTTTACTTCAAAGCTTAGATATACATATGAACCACAGGAATAAACTTTTGGATTCGTAACTACTAAGCAACTGAAACATGGGAATTATGCTATTTGGAAAAAAGTACTCTTGGGGGATGGTGTCAAGAAGTTTTTTGGAAGCTAGATTTGGAAGAAACCTTCCTCAAATCTATCTATAACTGGCGCCAGTGTTGGGCTTCTCTGAGACAGGAGGACTATCTATCTTGCATGCTCCCACCTACTCTCTGAAGAACCTGAGCCATACAAACTAATTGTTCCACTTGGAATAGATGAAACATCTAAGGTCAAGTGCTAGGGTGGTTTGGGCCATGGCCTGTTGACTATCTGGAATGAAGCCAGTCACATTAAACAACAGACAAATCATACCAAATTGGCCCTTCTGTCCAAAGAGTAATAAATTAACCCTATGAGAGCAGGCATTGTAAAAAATGCAAAAATGTGTGCTACTAGAGAACTTGATCAAGAAGTGACTTGAAATACCTTTCTGTGGAGTGTTGGTAAGGCCACCTTAACTGGGCAATTTGAGGTGCAAAGTCCAGATACTTCAATGATGATCCTATCCTCAAATCTGCACACAGCCAGCTAGTGGACCAGAAAGGTTTTCCGTGAGGAGCTTTGGCTCATGTTTGCTCTGATGTTTGCCTTTTCTCCCAAGCTCTTGCCAACCCCCAGCCCCATGTGCTCAAACTCCAAAGTGATCTAATTCCTTATGAGTTCAGTAAAGACTCGGGCAGCTCAGACAAAGTGGCGAATGCTTCATTGTCTACCTTTCTCAAGTTGGAATCCTATAGGTGAGGATGGTAAGGTTGTCATACTAAGGAGGAAACCTTGGAATTTTAATATAGAAGTGAGGCTCCCCCTCTGCTCTGAATCATGTCCTCATTTGATTCTTTTCAGTTTAATATGCTAGATAAATTAGAAGAGTAAGAAGCAGGAGCCAGTGCAAAGGATCATTTTTGATCCTTCATTCCTGCTCAAGACAATGGCCAGCATTATTAGGTCTTATTGCTTACAACTATCTTCCAAAAGTGAGATAGCTTCAGAAGTTTGATTAAGACAAGTTTTCTCTCCTATCTCTCATCTTTTCTCCCTCTTTTTCTTTCTCCAGTACTGAGGATTGAGCCCAGGGTCTCCACACTGAGGTACATTCCTACTCTTCTTTATTTTTTTAAAAATATGAAACAATGTCTCACTAAATCTCTAAATTGCCTACATTGAAACTTCTGGCCTCAGCCTCCCAGAGTGTTGGGATTACAGGTGTATGCCACCATGCCAAGCTGAGGAAATCTGTTCTTTCCTTTACTAATACCCACTAGAGCTCTTTAGTGACATCTATTTATAACTCTGATACCTTGTTGGTGGCAGGCTCAATGACTTTTCCTATTTTAAGGAAATTAGTGGCAAGATACCTTCTAATTGGTAGTTGAAATGTGCAAAAGAAGCAAGCATTTACTCTGAAGAGACTTTTCAAAATATTCTACATATATGGGACTAATTCATCTTCTGAGAATGCTACATGTAAATCTTTATGTAATTATCAGCTCATTTCCTTACCTTCTAAAGGAAGTTAAAAAAACTAAAATTCTTATTAAATGGTCCTATTGTTTCAAGAAATGTCTTCCCTAAAATGTGGAAGCTGAAATAAGAAAAATCTTTAAAAGATAATTTCAAGAAAAAAAATATTTTCACTGCATAATAATTCAGAGAATCAAGGTATGAGTTTCTTAATGATAAATTCTCATGTTAAACTTTTATCATTTAATTATTCTTGGCATAAATTTTTGACATTACTATCTGAAAAGACTAAGCAAGAAAAAAAATGTTATTTTAATACTTTCAAAGTGGTATAAATTTGAAAAATTGTAATTGACCTTTTCAAATCAGATCCACTTTTATAAAAAAGATATTCACCTTCAAGTGCTAATTTCCCTAACTTGTGGCTTTCCAGTGACTAGACAGAAGAATGACTTTCCCACATCCTACTGAATTGAAGGAGGGTAAGTTTTCAGTGAAATAGGACTTGTCATTATGGTATAGGAAAAAGTGATTACTTTAGACTGCAAGACATTCTATACCAGCAGAAAGTCAATGGAGTGAAAACTGTATCTAAACTGTCCCGTTGAAGAGCCAAGGGCCACTGATAATTGAAGGACTGTTCAAGCGATAATAGCATGAGAAGAGTA